CGTATTTGTACACAAAGTGATAGATGTACTACATAAAATTAGATTCGCAAGATTAAGTGAACAAAAAAGTATAGTTTCAAAATTTTCCTTTTTTTTTGAGCGATTTGGACGAAATTGCGGTGGTTGGAGGCTGCCAAGCGCTTTTTCTCCGCGGAGGCCGCGTTTTCGAACAGGGCTATCAACCAATCACAGAACAACTTTCGTAGAAGATCACTTATGCACGTACATTACATATACGACGCTCATTTTGCTCTCTCTTTTTTGGTTTTTAATCATTTATTGATGACACCACGTTAGAGAGGTGTATCTAGGGTATACACGTATATGAATGTGTTTGTGAAACAATTTGACAAACCATTTGTATTTTATAATAACGGTTCGTGATTATTATTACAGTCAAGTTATAGTGATGTAATCAATACAATACAAAAGCTATTGATTACATATCATATTGATGACCACGTTTGAACAAAGCGGTTAAAATTTTTTGAATGGTTGTACAGAAAATTGTTTAAAATAAGACGGTTAAAAATAGCGGTTAGGAAAGGCGGTTGGATAACAGAGAACAGTTCAAATATAAGCTTGATTGGTAGCATTATAGCGGTTGAATAGTATAATTAGATAAAATTATGTAATAAAATTAAGTTTAAAAATTCTAAAATACAATGCATTGAACAATATTTTACAATTAATAATATGAATTGTTACAAATACAATGCATTGAACATATATTGCAATTATTCACTTTCAAAATAATAATTGTATAATGCTAAGCAACTATCCATCTAATTGTTGTACAAAATTAAATAATCATGTACGATCAGCCCATATCATATCTGCAATTTGATTACGAATTAATGTCATGTATGATCCATCAGTTGTTGCATGAATTTATACACAAATTTACCAATATTAAAAAAAACAATTAATTTTTTACATGCAACCACTCATATAAAAACATACCAAACTGTATACGGTTCAAACTATGCAAGCAAACATTCATATAGAACAGAGTTTCTAATTCTCTTTTCATACGATATTTTTATCATATAAATTTCGTTTGCAACTTCTTTTTCCAATATTCCGTTTCAAACAATTATTCGATTGGTAGCGATCAAGCAATTCAACCGCATTACTATACCATACGATGCAACCAATCTAACCATAGCTAGCGTGTCATAAATATGTTAAAATCAAATAGTGAAGTAAAATCTTTACTATACTCCATTACTTAAACAAATGATAATCGGGTGTGGATCGATAATTCAACCGATGATTCAGCTGGTCACCAAAATATAATATTGTAATGGTCTTGCAATGAGAATTATAAAGCTTGGTTCGATACGTTTTATTAAAATATCGATAATAAATCAACTGGTTATTTATGAATGTAAAATATCGACATATAATACGTTTAAGTTGTACTATACACATTGCAATCAACATGACGTATTATGTTTTATGGTGATTAAGGTGGAATGTGTCCTCATTTGATAAATATATGTGTACAGAATTTTTAATTTTATAACTAATATGGACTAATCAAATTATTTATTACCAATTAATTAATATGTTGGATTTTGTTATACCATTCTTTTTTTTTCAAATGATATACAAATAATTCCTTATATGGTGACCAAAAAAAAATAATACAAATAATTCAATAAAATAAACTGAGGTAATTTATTTTAAATTGTTTGATTGTATTTAAACAAATATAGTTAGGCATGGAATCATTTTTCATGATTCGACTAATTAATAATGGTAATTTTTGGGACCAAGTTTAATTAAAGTGAGGAAAACGTGTCTGTCTCTTCTTGGTAAAACTAACAATGAAATTTGATACGCAGTTGCTTATACAATCAGTAATTCCTAGAAAGCATCTAAAATTGCATTTGGATATTTTACTATACTCGTCTCTATCAATAATGGTCACTTTTTCAATAAAATAGTACTAGTAAATAGTAAGAAACATCGAATGAAAATTGAATGGTCATAGCTTTATATTTTAATTGGAACCAAAGATTCTTCAATCTATCATCCACTCAGTGCTACCGTGGACGGTCGATATTTTGCATTATAAATAAAAAATATGTTATTTCGTAATCAGCAAGAGACAGATACATCGAACGGTCCAG